CAACTTAAACCCAAGGTGAAATTGCAAGTACCTCATTTGTATGCATATAATAAACAACTGTGCAATTAGATAGGTGTTATAAATAGGATGTGGTGGAGATGCTCAGGCTACTCAGGTTTCCTAGATTTTATAGCAAGTCCCCAGCCGAGATTTGCTGCTCTCTAATTTTGCCGTTTGGGCTAACCAGCTGACGCCTAGTTGAAAAGAGTTATGTTCCTACAAGGCCACAGAAGCCTTAGTATTCAGCCTTCGTCTCCTTCGGATTGCGGAGAACTCTGTGTACCATCAGCAACTTCAATCCCACCCTTTAGGCCAACCCTCATCTATCAAACCCGGGCTGAGAGAGAGCGAGAGGAAGCTCCCAGATAAACATACAGCAGCGCCTAAACTCCTAATCACTCTGGGCTTCCGCTTCCAGGCCCTATAATTAGAAGTCCTTCTTTTCCTTGTATTCCCAGTTGACGCAAATGCTTTTTGTGGCTTGGCACCTCATTTAGGGCGTGGGCTTAGTTTATGGCCAGGCCAGAGTCTGGTTTAGTCTTCTGATACTGCATAAATAGCTCTTAACCCACAGTCTACATCTGTACTAGTTTTTCCTTTTATGCATATATTCTCTGTCGTTTTTAACGTTTCTATCCTGAAAAGAGGCTTATTGTTTCCCCAACAGAATGCACGAAAAGCGGGAAGCTGTAAATAAGGGCAGCTGTATCTCTCAGGTAAAACAAAGCTTAGGCAGTTGTGGGGTTTTTTTCCATCTAGGGTATCTGTGCCTTTTAAACTGGATTTTAATCATCTCAGTGGATCTGAGAAACCACACAGTAACCCAGTCATTAGTTTAACCTAGCTGCGCCCCTCACATTAGGGGTAAGCAGAATCAGAATTGTTGCAGGGAGATACCTATTAAGTAATATCTGCTTTACACATAAATTTCCACTGGTTCTGTGTATGCAAGACGCTCAATTGATTTCAGATGTTATCTGTGAAACAGGGATTAATGCCAGTTTGAAAAATAAGCAGGAAATCCTCGAGAATTATTCACTTTTCATCTATGATTATTCATACGTCAAGTACATCGTAAGAGAAAACATTTTGGACTGAACCTATGACAGCTTTAACCCATATTTCCGTCTAAACAGGTTTGGGGGGAAACTGTCACAAGGTCTTTTAGAGGGTTGAGTTGAAGTTTCCTGCATTTGAAAGTGAAAGTGAGGTGAGGACCAAGGCTCAAGTTCATGTTTCTCTGCTGGGATTTGGTGTTTCTATTTGGGGGGCTGCTCCTTTTGTTGTAGGGAGGTGGAGAAAGGAGCAAAATGGCTGGGCTGTTGTAATTGAAAGCTGTGATTCTTCAGTGCAAAGTCACGAGAGCTGGAAAATCCCACCCCCAGACGCAAGTCAAACGTTCTAAACCAGTAGTGATTTATTGGTCCAATAGCGGGAGTGAGATACTTCAAAGTCCTGGTTTAGAAATACGCGCTCTTTCCCATCTGTGGTATTGTGCATGGGACCGCTGTGTTGACCCAGGTTCTGTGAGGATGTATTTGTATTTCACATGCAAGCAGGAGTATGAAAGGCCCTCCTTTACCTTACTGAAATACAGTCACTAACAGAAGGAAGGGCCTGTTTTCCCTCAGTTTTCATCTAATAAAATGCATTGATTCCAAGCAGTGACAGACAGCAGGAGTTTAGATTAGGCATGCAAAACTGCCAAATCAGATAGCTCCCAGCTTTCTCTTTTTAAGCCAATTCCCTTCCACCCGCAAATGTATTATCTTTCACCTCTACACCCCTTCAGGTTAGCAAAACCAGACGAAAACCCCAGGCCCAAAAAAACCCAAACCCCCAAACCCCAAAGGCATCAATATGGAACGAAAACCTATGTAAATCATATGGAACCGATCAGACCTGCCAATAGACAAGAGCATTTCACATCTTCATTTGTTCAGGTATGGCGTGTACCATCAAAAGAACAAACAGCTAACACCGTACACTGTCTGGGTTTGTGTATGTTGGAGTGTGTGGTCCCAAAGCGAGCTGCCTGCCAGTGCCCTGCTCCGACTGAGATCACAGGTTTGGGAAAAGATCTTTGTGAGGAGAAGGGTGGAATTCTCTGCTGCCCACGTACCGTGGGGTTTGCTGCACCGTCCGCAGCCACCTACGTTTCCAGCCAGTATTGGAAATGAGATCCTGGTTAGCTAAACAGCCGATGGATTTGACGGACAACACAGCGTGGTAATTCCTGTGTTTTCACTGGCTCGGGATTATCACATAGCTTTCTGGTTCCAGCTTCCAGGCAGGTTTTTGGCTCTTTTCAAGGGTTTTTTTTACGATCTTCATCGCACCGTGCCATGTGATGGGATACGCATGAAGACCGCTGCGCTCAGATCTCTGGGTGCACTCAGCTCTGCGTATGTATTTATAAGAGACTTCTAGCACTTTGGGGGGGGGGGGGGGAAAGAAAAAAAACCCTGGTTTTCTGTGGCCGTCTGCTTACTGTTGAGAGGAGCTTTATGTGTTCATCTCTTCCAGCTTCCCCTTCTCCAAAGGTCCTTTCCATCTGGAATAAGAGAGAGCTCGAACGGACCAGAAGCACGCTCAGCTTCTATATAAAGCTATCTAATGCGTGAAGGGAGGCAAACATGGGAATGTGGAAAATAAATTCTCACTGTGTTGAATTAGAATCATTTGGAATATCCTCGCTCCGATAGTGGCAGCCTAATGCTAGCACACAAACCCCTATTTGCTTCCAGCTTTCTCCACTGGAAATGCTATATATTATTGAGGACGGCACACTTCACTAGAAGGGAAGTCTATTTTGTGATGCTGCAGAACAGAATTAATGCAAATTGTGTGCATAATCCCACACTAAAGACTTGGCTGACTTGCACTTGAGCAACTTTAGCTGTATTTCCTATCAACACAGTCACTACAAATCAAGGAAATTGCCAGTTAAGCCAACATTAACATCCCAACCAACCTCAACTCACATGCCTTACCGCCCAAACATAATACCCAAATGCACTCATGGATTTCTTAGCTCCATAACAAACTCTCTTTCATTTCTAACACTCAGGATCCAAGTAACAGCCTGTAACTGTAAAAGCATGTCTACTGGAGGGAATCTTGCTGAGGTCAGATTTAAGATTCTGCGTTTGTGTGATTCCGAGGAAATGGATGTGTGCAGTGTGGGTGGCCTCGCGCTCTGGCCAAGCCCTACCAGCATCAGTGGTCAAGCTGAGAAGGAAACCTGTAGCAGTTTTGTCTCTAAATGCAGTTAGGGTTTCTTTTCAGTTTTGTGCCTTGCTGCTGGTGGGCCTCAGTCTCGAAAGTATTTGCTTACCTTCCCGAGATCCTTATTTCAGGAGGGGCATGGTCAAGAGAAACTGAGGCAATCGCCTGTTTGTGCTCCCATGATGTCTGCAGTGCTGCAGTGTTATCGTATCCAGAGGCTTCAGGGCTGTGCTTTGCCTCCCATGAGCTGAGGCCTGTGTTCACAAATCTGCTTCAGCTTCAGAGGAGGAGCGGGGGAGTGATGTTGGGCCCCAGAAATTCAAGGCTGTGGCTGCTGAAATCCTTCTATTTGGGCTTGAGGGAAGGGGGATTCCAGGAGGGAGAACACTGAGGATGCTGATGTAGTGATGCTGTTACGGTGATTCGGTGGAAGAGTTAATCTTCATTAAGAGAGTGTTTCCCTGCTGCTCAGTGCACACAGGGATTGGTTTCCAGATCTCTACAGTGGCACATGCCAGGACTTCAGTGGTAACGGGCGAGAGCTCCCAGACCTGTACCATGCATGTTTGCTTAGCAGTGAGCACAAGAGGAAAAGATGAATTGTGGAGCCATGTGTAAATAAACTGGGAAAGCGAACAGTCTCTTATGGCAGATAGAACATAATCATTTATCCTTTGGAATAGGTGTCCTGGAAAACACAGAGAACTGAGTTCTCCTCCTGCAGGATAAAAGGGTTCAATTGTGATTTATGTGTGGAAATTCCTGGTTTTCTTTAACAGAGGGTACCTTGGCAATTATTTAGAAGGCACTTCGATGTAACTGTTAAACTGCTAAAGCCACTTTGTACTTGACATTAATGTCGGAGGACAACTTTGGATGATAAATTCTTTAATTTCATTACTAAGCATGGTCATGTGGGCGTTTTTATCCAGAAAAATAAATCTCATGTTCATTTATTATGGTCCTAAGTTCTGCCATGATCCATACTTTCCTTGATGTACAAAACCCCTTATTTTTTATATAAAAACTTACAGTAAATTCACTTCAGATATGTTTGTAAATGTTTAAAAACTGGGTTATGGAGTGACACATAGTGGAAGAAAAAAGTAAATAGCATATATAAGTTACTGTGATTCTGCTGATCTAATATAATCATTTCAGTACATCCATCAGTGACCTGGTTTCAATGAAGTTAGTACCTAATTTAATATTTCACTGCAAGCTCTCAGCTCTGATTTGCTGCCTTTCAAGCAATAAATCAGACAGTTTCTTTCACATGCATTTATAAGGAAGATGTTTCTTCAGGCTTGTTTTTGGTCTGGATTGTTTTGGCTCTGTTTCGATAATGTCTCTTCTTCCAAAAATTAATAACTGTGGAAACATCAATCTTTTTTATACTGGCTCTTTCTCAGTGAAGAGCATTTTGGGGTTTCGCTCTAACATTCATCACTTCAGTGCTTCATATTGGTCACACAAGTTCTCAGCTTCACTTAGGATATTCCTTGATTTTTCAGTTGGCTTTCATAAATCTGCATTGTGATGTGTTCATAGTAATAGTGTTAACATGAGTTTGGTTGAACTTCTGATTCATTTTTATGAAGTGAATCCCTTTCAATTCGGTAATATCCTGCAACTGTTTTCTGTCGTTTCCAGGAGACAAAGCGTAAGCCACGCTCGCCTTTTTAGATAGACATTCTTAAGCCTCTTCTTTTGCAGTGATTAATCTCTTATGCTTTTGTGTTTCTTTTTTCTTTTCTTTTTGTTTTACCCAGGGATGTTGCTGGTCACTACTGACACATTAGGCCATGATTTCCATGTTTTTCAAATACTGACACATCCTTGGTCATCATCACAAAGTGCCGTCCATCATTTGTATACACTTCACAGGGGAGAGACTGAAGCCAAAGTAAGTTAAACTATTTGCTGAAGAATAATCCCCAGACACCTTATACATTTCGTGTATGTTGGCACTTTAATGTTTGTTTCAGCACACAAAGAGCCTTTCTTACGTTGTAGCCACAGAAAGGATAAAAGCACAGCGTTTAACCTGGACAATAATAAATTCTTGCCCTTTACAATGAGGTGCTGTCAGATTTATTCAGATATGACACTAGCTGCAAAGAGCCCAGATTATTAGCCGTGTTTGTACTTAACCTTTTCTCATGTAACATGTTAAACATTTGTCTGGTGCCCGTGAAGCAACTGTCAGGGTTTGCTTGACTTTGGTGGTAAAACCAAAGATGGACACTTAGAGAGTTGAAAGGAAGAGTTAATCAAAAGACCGTGATTAACTTCTGTCTACACTTCAGCCCAGTGGGTGAACCCACTGGAAGCTGCAGTGGTGTGTACTTACCTTTCCAGTTTAGAAATCCCACTCTTAAAGGTGGAAGACTCAATCAGGCTATTGGCAGAGGGTGAAAAAGTCTGAAATGGTGTTTTAAATAACGCTCAGTAACCTGGCTTACTGGTAAAGTGGATAAAAGAGAGAGATGACATTTGCTGAGCGTCAGCATGGTAAAAGCAGTGCAGCGTGTTGTGCTTGAAGCCTTCACTGCAGTGCTCCTAGGCATCAGGAGAGCCTCACCTTTGCAGCATCGAGTAACTGTTGGAGAACCTGTTTTAAATGCATAAATAACAATGTCACCACAGGGGAAGAAATGAGTATTGCACTTGCTGATGCAATTACACACTGAAAGCACAGACTTGTGACAGGCTGGCACATTTAAACTAGTGTGACAGGGAGAAGCCTCAGGCACTGTGGTTATGACCCCGACACTGGAAGCTTGGATTATTGTGGTACAGTGACTGTAGTTCCTTCAAGCTATGCTTTTTTTTTCCTATGAGTTGTGCAGTTTCCCTTATGGCTTTTGCCTTACCTTTGTAACAAGTACAATCTGAAAACTTTATTTATAATGTAGTAGTGGTTGAGGATGTTTCAATCTGTGTGAATTTAAACTACTGGTAGTTTAAATACTCTGAAGCTTTGCTGCTACTACTCTGGAACAGTGTAATTACTATTATAGGCAGTGGTTTATTATAGGAAGGAATAATGAGTGTGGAAAGTGAGAGGAAATAAGGAAAAACTGTCCATATGGGATACAGTACTGGTAAGTAATTTTTATCAATAATATAAAGGTCATTGGGATCTGTGTGTATACATATACTTTGTCATTTGAGCATGTACTATGATGTGTTTAATGTGTTAGAGTTATTTTTGTTCTACTTTCATACAAAAAGTGGGAAATATCCTGTAAGCAGTGTTGAAACCCAAAGCATAGGACTCCAGTCACTAGGAACAAAGAAGTTCTTCTGGTTTTTACAGCTGATAAATTTGTTTTTAAGGCATACATTGCAAACCACCCATAACATGGCTTAGAGAATAAACCTTTCTTGACACATGTTTTTGGGGGGATATAATATTAGCATCTCTGGGAAAGCATTGCATTAAAATCCTCAGAATCAACATAGTAAAGTTTTTTCCCAGTTTGCCACATAGCTTTCATTTGGGGTGGGAACAGTGTAGCTTTTGGGGCAGTATAAAGTAGGGAAAATTGTAACCAGTCTGAGGCACATTGATGGATTTCACAACTCTCCTGATAATTGAAGTATCCAGCAACAAGGTTGCGTTGGTACCTGTGATGCTCAATTCACATCTGTGATTTAAAATCTTTACATAATATGACTGGGTTTACTTTTTCTTTTGGAATAACAGTGCCTGTAGTTGTTTAGTGAGAAGGGGAGGATGTGGTGCTGCTCTTCTGTTCTGTAAGTTTCATGTATGAGTAGCATTAGACAAGAATTTTGGAGACTATTCAGTTTAAATTCCCTGTGAAGACATTCTGAGGCACACACCGGGAGCCTCTGTACCTCCTGTCTTGGTTAGAACAGTATTTGCACATTTGCAACCAGACTTCTGTTTCCCCCTCCTTGGTTTAAAGCTAACTGTGAATCAAGGCCAATGGTCTTAAAGGTCACCTTCTGTACTGGAGCTATAAAAAGTTCTAATTTGTGTTGATGGACATGAGTGATTATCAGTGTCAAAAATTGTTTAGCTAGACCCCGTTATAAATTGTTTCAACATCCTCATGATGCCCTTGTTATATGTGGTATTTTAATGTCCATACTGAAATCATCTGCTTTTGTACGTGAGATTCTGGCCAATGGAGCTTTGCCACACACTTCCCAGAATATCCTCATGTCCCATGCGTGATTTTTCTTTTCTTCCCTTGTGATCCATTAGCGTGTTCTGGTGTTATAAGGCCATTTAGTTCATGGACAAAGAACTGGTACATTGGTAATGTCTATAAAAGTTTCCTGTACTTGTCTGAGTGGCTGTGTCTGAGCTGTGGGACACAGGATTTCCCTGTTAGGGATCGGTGCTGCTGCACAAATTGACTGTACATGGAGTACTCTGTAAGACCAGTTTTTCCAAGGAATATTGGATATGCGTGTATGCTTTGTGCAATAATTCATGGCGTGCCACTTTCGCTCTGGGAGCAGAAACTTGGGAGCCATATATCTTGGTGTTCCAGATATGGACAGGTATATCGTGTGTTACATGTTTGAATTGTAACAAATTCAGCCCTGGGGTATCCCCTCTTGCAGGGCTGCACAATTCCCAGTTCTCCCTTTTATGTTGTGTTTAGTGCTTGAAGGGCAGAGCAGTAGCTTGGATTTTCACGTCTGTCTCCTAAGAGGAGGTGACAGGAAGTCCCCTCTGTCGTTCACATCTTAAGTGGATTAAGTTGCACACTTAATGTATATTAAAGAAGAAGCAGCAAGTGTTGTCATTAAATAACGGTGTTTTCTGATCGATTTACTGCAATCAAGCAGTGTCTCTGAGTCACCCACATGTCTTTCTCCTGAGTCAGATGTTTTAGCCGTGTGGTTCCTTTGACAAAACTAAAGAATATATCTTTCATTTTTCTAAATTCCTGATAAATTCTGGTTTGGGGTTGAGAAATTTCAGTCTAAAAGACCATTTCTACCTTTTCCTGACCATTTCTGAAATACAAAGCCTGGGTGTACAGACATCTCCAGGGCTTTTGTCTCCTTTTGTCAGGATCTTGCCCTTAGCCAAAGCAGAATTCATGCTAAGCATTTGCAATGAGTTGGCCACTCCAACCAGGCAGTGCTGCTGAAACCATAGCATTAATGAATGGGGTAAATCAGAGACTTCCTATTTTAATTTTAAGAAAAGAAAAGTGAAAATGGATTTAGTACAGAATGTTGTGTTTGTATTGGTAATCCATCCTAATAGCTATGCTTGTGCATTACAATGCTTTGTGCATTCCAAACATGTAATTTTCTGCCTGATGGAAAAAGGGATGGAGCTGTCACAGATTCTTCCACAAAGATAAGCTTTCCCTGCACCAAAATGTTGCTCACAGCAGATTGTACCAGTATTCAGTGTCTGGTCACAGGCACTTCCTGACCAGCTGATGGTCACTGTACCCTGGAGTGGTGTCCAAAGGCATTTGCTAGCCATCTTTCAAGTACTTTTGTTGGTCATCTTCTTCTTAGGGCTTGTCTGCCGTGCCAGTCCACTTGGTGCTGGCTTCATGATGCTGAAGAGATGTGGGTACTGTGCTTGGTAAGGTGGTGGGTATTTTAAGCTTCCATTCCCCTTGACACACAGTTAGGGTAAGTAGTGGTATTGTCCCTGACTGTTCACAGCTAGTCTTCATAACATGGTTATCCTTTTCTTTTCCTGCACGCTTTGAACCATAAAACAGCGTTACTGGGTTCTAAAGTACTGTTATTGCAAATCTGTGTTGTATTTGCTGACTTTGAGCAGCAAGGATAGGAAGAGGCCTGTGTGCTGACTAAACATTGAGTCAGGCCTGCAAACATCACTCAGTTCCTGTCAAAGCCGCTGACTTCTTTGTGTGACTCAGGTGAGGATGGGGTGATGAAAAGTGGACTTCTGCCTTGGAAGGGAATTGTGAGGACAACGGCCATGAAAGGATGTGAAGTGCCCAGATACTCCATTGGTTCGAGTGACGCGAGTCCCAAGGTCACAATATTCCAAGTTACTTTTCTGCAAACACGGACAGAAGTCACTATTTCAGTTACATTGGATTACTGTCTTTTAGTCTTTAAGTGCCACTTATGCTTTAGGATGTTTTTGCCTAAGAGAACACAAACCCGTGTGTTTGCTGCGCTGTTACATTGTGAAGGCTCATTGCAAGTGCTGGTTTTATTTAACCATACCAGAGAGAGAACTGAAGCTCTCCATGCTTGCACAGTTCAGCTGCAAAGGGGAAAACTGTGCATGTGTATTTGGGGCACGTTTTGGCTAAGGATACATTTCCTTGTCCTACAGCTCTTGCAAGTAAGTCAACACTTACTGCGCTCATTTTTTTACCCAAGAGCATTGAGGAAGGTTTTTAATGAAGGTATAGCATGTTCTGAGCTGAGGAAGCTCATTTACTTAACAATGGAAGTTAGACTGTCACCCGAGGAGCCTTCCTCTTTGATCTGAAATGGTAAACAGAAAAAAACCCAAATCCCTGAAAACAGAATTATCTCAACCTCGAACAAATAAACGCAATGATAGCATCAGTGGGCTGCTGGCCAGGGTCCTGTGTCATCTTTTATGCTGTCAGGCTTCTGTTATTCTGACTCTCAGACTGCTGCTGTAGCTGAGTTCAGCCAGCGCAGGTAAACAGAGGGAATGATAAAACCATTCCAACGGGGGCTGCTGCAGAACACGAGCAATTTTACACTTCCCTCGGGAAAGCATGGATGTTTTGTGACGTGATTTCACAGGGACTGTTCAAGGTTGTGTCACGAGCTGTGTCCAGGTAGTGAAACACTGGAAGGGTTTACAAATGTGATGGAGACCTCTGTGGTTATTAGAAGTTTCTTCCTATCCTTGACATAGTTATGGAGTTGCAATTACTG